TGCTCACTCTCTGTATCGAAGGCCTCAAATGCCAAAATGAATTAATTAAATACATCATTAAATAATTAATTAAATGTGTCATTAATACATTAAAACTGGAAGTAACTGATTTAATATATAAGTTACTTCAAATTAAAATTCAGTTTATTTATTTAAATATACAAGAAATGCATTGATTGATTGATTTCCAATTTTAACTGATTAATGACACATTTATTTTATTTTTTTTTTAATTGTACATGTATTTAATTCATTTTGGCACCCGGGCCATCCAAAGTTCATGACCTCTGATCTTGCTAACACCACGGTGGGCAGCATTTCAGCAGAAAGCTTTAGTTTGACTGATCTCGAGGTTAGACTGAAACATTTTGGTTTGTCACTTACTCTAAAAGTTCAATGTGATAAAGTCGTGGGAACATTGCAGACGAATCACAGGACACCTGAACAATTGTGACGCACCTGCTCATAGACCCATTCACTGCACACCTAGACTTTTCAAGGCTTTGCCAAAGGGAAGTGCGTGTGAGTTAAAAAGCCTGTAACCTTCCAGCTCTCTATTACAAAGTCTATTTGCTGTCCAGTTACACAGCTTTGGGCCAGTGTGAGTAATAGCTGAAGTTAACAGGCCAGCTAATGTTTGGCTGTGTGTGCTTACTCCATGAGGCTCCTCATCCTCAGCTTTCTTCTGAGAAAGGATAATTCGAAGATCTTTCACAGTTCATATGCGTGAAACAATCAAATCTGTGAAAGCTAATACTGGAGCGTTCAGAGCTCCAGTATTACAGGCTGTGGAAACTGTAGAACCGGAAACTGTTGCTCTTGTAATTCTCTTAAATCTCCACTTGAATGCTAAAAAAAATGTCACAGTATGTGATTTTCAACAATTTCCTGCTCATCAAAGTGTTCAGCAGCCATTAGTTCTTTTTAGCTACCTCATAAAAGCCTGTTGCTGTCATCATATTAAAGTGGCCCCATATTTGTTGCTATGTGAGCAGCTGATAGCTGGAGCACAGCTGTAAACCACCTCTTTCTTTTATTATGGTACCAGCCACCACCACATGCGCACACTCACACACATTAAACTGAACCACAACAAGTGTTTTCACAGTGTTTGTTTTTATTGTTTCTCCTGATTTAAAATGAGACTTTCTGGGTACACACTGTAAATAATCTAAGGTGGGATCTAAGGTGGGACATCAGCTACGAAACCGAAAACATCACAGCAAACAGACTCGCTGGCACACATTGAGTTACAACAACAACAACAAACAAAAAAAAAAACCAGCCTCTCTCTTACATCGCACATTCGGTGCCCACGCACTCTGCAACTTCTCACGCAGCGTGATGGAGACAAACATTAGCGGTGAACACAGGCCTTCGGTGAAGCGCTGTGCAGGTACCAGCGTGCGACAAATGGAGCTATTGCTATGCTGTGCGGTGTGGCTACGAATGCATCAAAGCTTTCACTCTATCCTCAGAAATAAGTCCCAATTGCTGAATTGCAACAAAACCTGTATTTGTAGGTTTCAAGTGGTTCGTTGAGGCTTTCATTTGTTTTGGGGTTTTAGTACGGTCAGTAGCAGGGATGGAAAAAATTAATTGTCCACACTTTTCCCTATTTGTGCATTAAAAGTGAAGAAGAAGAGTGCAGCGCTTTGTCAGTAACAAATCTGAAAGTACTGGCTGGGTGATTTGATGGGGCTCTTGTAGCTCGACGTGTCATGCGGTGCGCTCTGGCCGCTTGAGGTCTTCTGGAAGTTTAAGGTGAAGGATGGGGTTGCTTTCCTCGCCTCTGGCTTGCCGCCCCCCTTCGCCTGAGGGCGATTAGGAGCGGGCGCGGGCCCGCTGTGGGCGGGCACCGCAGAAGCGGACTCGGCAGCTTCAGAAGACCCAGTCTTTCTTGTGAGGGGGCTCAGATAGATCTGCATAGTCACTAAGTGAAGCGGTGAAGTGAGGTGAGGACGGAGAGAGAAGGAGGCAAGAGTGGAGGAGTGACAGGAAAGGAGAGCGATGAAGAGAGCGTGAAGGGCGGATTGTGGGCGTGGATGGGATGAAAGAAAGACAAAAAAAAATAAGGGTGGAAGGGGCGAGGGAAGGCACACAAGTCATGGTGAGATGTGGAAATATGAAAAGGTGAAGATAAAACAGGAGCTCAAGCACGATTCGCTTCGTTATAAATGTGAACAGTGGTTGTTTTGCGTTACTGGGGGTGTCAGACAGGGACGAAGCCTACCTTTGCAGTGTGTCACACGCCTGATTCCTGCAGCAAAGCAACACACATGCAATTCAGAGTTAAACAACGCCGGGTTTCTTTAACAGTCCTGTTCTGAATGCTGCCGGCGGGGAACCAGTCAACTCACCTACATTCACTGCAGCCTCTCTGGGTTTGCCGCTGTTATGTTGACGGAGAGAGAGAAACATGATACAGAGATGCCAGAGGACACGAGTGGGAGAGAGAAACAAAGAGATGCAGGGACAGAAAGAGAGAGTTAGCAGATCTGAAGGGAGATTTCATCCGACTATAAAAGGCTGAAATCTTGACACATCAGTTTCCGGTTGAGTAGGCCTAATTAAAGGTTTCCTGTGCTCGTGCCCCGCGTTTGCTCTTGAAACAGGATGTCTGGGGCTGAGATAACTTTGATTTAAATTTAGAAACAAAATCACCTCGAAATCAGCAGAGATCCACACATGATCTGGTTTGTGAGAAGTGTGTACGTGGGCAAAGAAATCTGAAACACTGTTACACAACTGTGCTGTAAAATTTGACAGACGCCTAAGTTTGTTGTGTGTGTGTGTAAATTTAGAAATTCAATAACAGCTTCTCACCTGTCCTGAACTTTCTTGCTGCTCGAGGCTGCAGAGGCGGGTCGTGTTCTAGCGGTCTTACACGGGCTGTCTTTCACGCTACCCGGTGGGCTCTTCACACCGCTGGAAAGACGAAAAGAGCGAGTGGGGTCAGGAAAAAAAAAGAAGAAGAAGAAATGGACCGCACAGAAGAGAAAGAGGAAATAGCCAGAAGGTAAGGAGAGATTAATTAGAAAGGTGAAATAAGAGTGGAAAGAAATGAACCCGCTTTAATAAAGATGAGCGCGATGATGAGGGTGATTCTCCGTCTTGCTTTTCCTCATACTGAGCGGCCGGTTTTAAGTGAATGGAGATTTACCACTCTCTGTGCAATTATATCAGAGTAGCCCAGATGTAGCACCAGCACATTAAGGTGCCACAGACGTAGCTTATCGTGCTCTCTAACTAATGCTATCTAATAGCTGTATCATTTGAAATGTAATTGAGAGGAAGAGATGTGCAGAAAATGGAGCGGCGCTTTATTGCTTTGAAAAGAAGAGGCTGGTGTTGGGGATCGTTACGCAGCATCCGTGTGCAGTTTCTTAGATACCGGAGGCTGTCTTTCTGATTGCCTTTGCATGTTAAATAATGAGAAGCGAAGCTCGCTAATGAAGACTGAAGCTGCTTGATTAGCACACGCTTCTCTTCTGGGTGAGGTGGGGTGAGAAGGTCTGCTGTGTGAGATCATTCCACAGTGAGCAGTAAAGAAATTTAATGCCTCGTTTAACGGCAGACGTTTAAGTCGGCTCGGAAAATACACAACGTGATCTCCTGCACATATTCAAACAGTGAAAATAATCTCCAGCTCCCTCCCAGAGGACTGGGTACCTTCGGGGTGGTGTTGGGCTGTAGTTCCTGGTTGTGGTGGTGGAGGGCAGCGTGGTGCTCTTCTTCAGAGAAGCTGTGCTGGGGGTCACCATGGGGGCTCTGGAGGGCAGAGCCAGAGACACTGGCCTGGCTGTGGGAGCAAACGCACACACACGCACATTCTGTGAACTGTGTTTGTTGTGAATGCGCTTTTTGTTGCCTGCACAAACAAAGTCCCTTTTGAGGAAAAAGCCATGACTGAATTTTTATTGGCATTTCTGTCGTTAAACACTGAGCACATAACTGGGTTTGCACCACTCTGGGATTAAGCGAAACAAAAATGATTTGATTCAGCTTCTCAAAGTGATACTTTACTCTGCTTTGTGAGATTTATCTCTAAAATTTGAGCACACATGCTTTGATAAACTGTGATATTCGATTTACTCTGTGACTACATATAGACCTAATCAACAAAACAAAACCCGTCTCTTTAAATCATCTTTTATTTTCTCCACTATGCGCATTTTTAATAATATAGTCCCATTCTAGCAAATGCACCTGAGGAAGATGACTGAGCACATCATGTACAATCTATAAAAAAGTCGATGTCTTCTCGTGTACAGCAGGCTGAGGGATTAAAGCGCTTTATGTATCGACACACCTGAAATCCTTCCTCTGGCTTGTAGATATGTCAGTAGATCTTTGCTCACCTTTGGCCCCTGGTGCTCTCCTGCCAGCAGCAGCAGAAGCAGCTGCTTGGTGCTCCTCAGAAATGTTGAGTCTCTTCAGGACGTCAGCCAGAGCCATCTTCAGAAGCTGGATTTCATCTTCTTGCATCTGCATCCTCTGCTCGAGATATGTCAGCCGATCGGCCACATCCAGGCCGCTGGCCGAGCTGCGGTCGTCTGCAGATATGAGGACAGATAGCATGACATGTTTTGCATTATCATTAGGAAAAAAATGCACAAAAGTCTCGGTCTTCCTTTAAACAACTGCCAGCCTGAAATAGATGCAAGCAGCTGACTTGACATCAAGATCTATAGAAGGTGTAATCAGAGAGGGGGCGAGCTCTTTAGCGTTCCCTTTTTCATGGCTGCACTGTAGAAATCTAATGAGGTCATCACACAGCTGGACATAGATCATCCTCGCAGACACCATGCAGCAGCGTGTAAACAATGGCGTCAAAGCGCACATCCAAAACACTTCTGTCACCATCATTTCTCTTCAAGTGATTTCTGCTTCATCTTTAACTGCAGGCAATCTGTAATCCAACACAGTCACAATGGGTCAAAGGTGGCTACCGTGGGAGATGCTGGAAGCTGAGGAGCAGTCACGGTGCTTCTGCAGGCCAGCAGGGCCTTCCTCCACCCCTCCAGACTTCTTCCTCCTCTTCCTCTCCTCTCGCGAGCATACTTTTTCAGTGCTCGTTCCTCCTCTTGCTCCCATCAGACGGGCCTGCTCTCCCTCCATCTAATTTTGATCCGCTGGCGTTGACGTCCACTAAGATTTCATCTCTTTTGCTCCACTTATGTCGCACACAGACACACACACACAAGATCAGCCTTTCTGGTATTTTAGCCGCCTTTTGTTTGTTTTTTTAGAGCATCCAAATGGTGTTACAGCATCTGCAGCAGGAGATGAGGGTCTTGGTGTTTAGATCCTCTCACGTTTCCTTGGTGGTCGCCGGGTACAATCTGTGATGTGCAGTTGTGTATGACAGAGCTTAAAGCCCTTTGCTCAGGATGAGAGTGTATGAAGGTGGGGGCGGGGCTGATAATGCTTAAAAACTCTGCAGTCGTCCAATCCAGCCTAAATTGTGTGTACGTGTAAGTGTACTTGCATGTGTGTCTCTGTGTGTATATGTGTGTGTGCAGACTATAATGTTAATCCCACAGCCTGAGCCTCTTTGACCCCGCCCCCACACGTAAGCCCCCTGTCACTAACAGCGCTGGAGACACAGAGAGGAAGCAGCAGAGATAAACCTGAGACACTGCTTGTTCTTGTGCCGTGAAGCTGTAAACATCTTGCACATCCACAGAGTTACAGTTTACAGTGGATGTCACTCTGAGCAACGGGGAGGATGAGGCAGAGACAAATAAAAACTAATGCATCCTTGTGGTTGCACAGGATTTAAGAAGAAAAAAAAACCCCAGTGAAACAGGAGTCAGCTGAACGGCATCATTTCCCAGTCGTGCTCAGCCAGAATATACAAGAAGGAGCAGGGATCAGTTGCATAATCTGCTTCCTTAAGTCAACAAAAACTCTGATTCCCAACCAGGGGTGCTTTTACCCGAGGGGGTACTTATCCAGTTTGCCAGGGGCTGGGAGGATAAATCGTGAAGAAGCTCAACTAATTTGATTAAGTAAGCATTTTGGTTTGATTAAAAAGTACATCAGCATAATGAGTTAGCTGTCCAAACCATAATACCACTGTTGCATGAAAACGTGTTAGCCTCAGTAGATTTATTTTGTAACAATTGTTGCACCTTGTACCTTTATTGTGATAAAAGAGTGGAGAGAAGAAAGCTGAGATAGCTCAGCTAAGGGGAAAATACACAGTAAACCACAGCCTCGGCTTTAAACTTACAGCATATGGGTTGCTTGCTAGATCCATTTAGCTAAACAGGCTCTCGGGCTTAATTAATTAAACTGAATATACAAATAATGGTAATAGGTAAGAGTAATCGATACAGATATAAATATAAATAGTAATAGAAATAGAAAAGTAACAAAAAATGGTTAAGTGACTAAAAGTGCAAAAAATGCATAAATATCTGGAATTTTAACCGAACTACAGTATAAAATAGTTAAAGGTGAGCCAAGAAAAGCTTAAAAAGTATAAAATAGCTAAAGAGTAGCTACGAATAGCTTAAAAAAAGGGTTAAAAGTATAAAATGACTAAAGAATAGCTTAAAAGGGGGCAAGAATATAACAAACAGTAGTTAAGAATACCTCAAACGGATAAAAGGCAGAAAAACTAAAGTTGCTACAACGTTTTAAAAAGTTAGCGATAAGAACTGGTGGATGAAAAGGTGACAAGTAACACATAAACAAATAGCTTAGGGCTAAATGTTGTACTCATGAATGTAAAAGCTGCCATTTGTATATAAAATATGAATAATAACCACTGTGATGTCTCCTACTTTTTTCTTGATGACTCAAGTTGGACTTTTTGACCATAATCTTAATCTTTTAAAACCACGTGTGAAGAGCCAAAAGGGAATGTAAACAGTAACCCGAGAACACTGATATCATTGTGACTTGTCAGTCATGAGCAGCGGCGTTCAAGACAAGCAAGGCAACATTGCTCAGCTTGTGAAATATAACAATAACCATAAATTAAAGTATAATGATCTCTCTCCTTTAGTCTCAGACTGAGTTGTCATAAGGCTTCATATAGGAACACAGCTTGGATTAGCAAGTGAATGAGCTTCAGTGATTTAGCATCGTACCAGATGAGTTCCCTCTTGCCAACCACCCACGGTCAACATGTGTGACGTAGAGAAGATTGAGTTTGAAAAAGCTGTTAATAACTCATTCAGTGCACTCAAGAAAAGCGCTGACAATGATGGAGAGAGGACAGCAGCTGTGACCATCGGTCACAGCACTTTCAGATTAGCATTTATGAGAATATCTCAGTGTACCATGTTTAATCAGCTGTTTTGCCAACACTTCACCTTGATTTTTCATTTGAATCCCTCCCTGTGGGTATTGACAGTTAACCATTAACCAACACACCGCTCAAGCCTTTTAATTCAGCTGATTTTTCTTCATTATTTTATTTTTAAATACTTTCTGAAAAATCAAGATGTAGATTCTGAGCTCATGAACAATTGATTTTTTTTTCATAGATATGTGGCACTCACAGGACAGCGATTTATAGAATATGATGCTAAACATAAAGTTTTAAAATGAGCCCAGTCTTAAAGCAGAAGTAATATTACACTATTTCATACTGATGGGGGATTTTACTTTGAACATTTTACAATTTTCCAGATTCAGTAAGAGGACTAAATGTTACAATCCCTGATAATGCATTGCTTTAAATGAATACACTCGTCACCTTAGCCACATGTTTTTTCTGTGTCCTGAGCTACAAAGTTTCTGGACAGGGTATTTTGCTATTATGTCAACTGTTCTTGGGGTAACTCTTCATCCTTGTCCTCTTTTTTTTCATATATGTATATATAAGTTTATTTACTTAGGAAAATGAAGAAAGGTTGATTGTATTTCGGTAACTGCAAGTACTGTTGTTTTCTTTTTTCAATAAAAATATTTTCCAAAAAAAAAAAAAATGAATACACTCATACCAAACAATGAATCAGATGGAAATAATAACAATAATAATAATAATCTCAACTGCATTGACCACTATTATATAATATGCAGTTTAAACTCAAACAAGTGGACAGGTTTGGAACTTACACTGTTGTTTGAATGCTTTCAATGTTTTCAGAATGTAGTACGTCTGTGAAGTGCATAAAGTGCACGTTCAAACTATTTTTGACTCTCACTTGTTGCCGTAGTTCCTTTGAGAATCGAGTCTAAGCGCTGACCTGTCCAGGATGACGATTTCCAGTGTAATTATTCAGGCAGTAATCCGCCTCTCATGGAGAGTTGTGATTTTTGTGTAGGCATGTGATCTTCTGTTTCTCCTCCTGTCCTGACCATGACATCATCCTCGTGCTACCTCCACGCAGCCCATATGGGACTGAGATTAGAATAGCACATAATCCCAGTGCTGTAAAATGGAATTAGCAGCCCAGAGCTCAGTCTCTGCACTAACTCGGCCCCACAAAGAACAGGCAGGCCCCACAAATGTAAACACACATGCAGCCCTGTGCATTAAGTATATCTGCTGTTTCTCAAACACAGTCACACGCACGCACTGCCAAGTTATCGCAGCGAAGGCTTCCAGACTTCACAAACTTATATACATTTAAGCAAAATGCAAATACGTTGAGCTATAACTGCAGCACGGAGAGCCAATGGAGCGTTTTAATCTCGGTTTGCAGCTGGCGCCTCTTGAATGGAGGAACGGCATCTGTCTGCTCGTATCAGCAGTCAGCAGCCTGACACACACACAGGCCACGTGTGCGCACGCAGTCCTTCACATGTTAGTCCACTGATGCTAATATCCCAGCAGGGACAGGGCATTTCCCCAAATCTTCTCAGATAAGACACATCCCACAACACCACAGCTTGACTATGACTATGTCACATGTGAGAAGTAAGAGAGATGTTTAGGATTAGTGTTTGGCTTTATCTTGTTTGACAACCAATAGGGT